CTGCAGAAATCTTTGGTAGATTTAACATTCATTATTAACTTTCATGAGAGTGAAAGTGTTAGTTGCTCAGTCATGTCCAACTCTGTGAACCCATGAACTGTAGCCCACCAGGCTCCTCTGTCCCTGGGATTCTCCAGGCAAGACTACTTGAGTGGGTTGCCATTTCCTTCTCCAGGGGATCTTCCTATCCCAGGGATCAAACCCAGGTCTCCTGTATTTCAGGCAGATTCTTTACCATCTGAGCCACCAGGGAATCTCTATGAAAATTCATAGTATTAAAACATTACAGGTAATGTGCCAACTTCAGAGTCCTCTAAATCTTCTGTCAAGAAGATAATGATAGAATCATAAACTAAAACCTGGTATCACATATTACTAAAACTGACATTTATTTCCGAAAGGATTTGACCCATAGTAACTGAACTCTGTAAAAAGAGAAGGCTGGCAGTTGGAGAAAAGTAGGTCTGTCACATTACTTAGTCAATGGCAGTTTCAATGTAATTTAGCCTCAATCTTTTTGCTGAAATGATCTAAACAACAAAAGATTCATAACAAAAGTATATGGAAAAAAAAGAGAAATGAGCTATTAAGCCATGAAAAGACATGGGGGAAGTTTAAATGCATAGTACTAAGAAAAAGAAGTCAATCCGAATGAGGCTACATACTGCATGATTCTAAATACGTGACAGCACCAGTCAGCGGCCATCACCAAAAACCTACAAACAATAAATGCTGAAGAGGGTGTGGAGAAAAGGGAACCCTCTTATACTGTTGGCGGGAATGTAAGCTGATACAGCCACTATGGAGAATAGTACGGAGGTTCCTTAAAAAACTAAAACTAGGAATTTCCCTGGTGGTCTAAGTGCTCCCCATGCAGCGGGTCCACATTCAATCCTGGTCACAGAACTAGACCCCACATGATGCAACTAAAGATCCCACCTGCCACAACTAAGACCAGGCAAAGCCAAAATAAATTTTTTAAAATTTTTTAAAAACCTTCAACAACAACAAAGAAAACTTCGTTTATAAATGGGCCAAAGACCTTAACAAACATATCACCAAAGAAGATACACGGATAGGAAATAAGCATATGAAAAGATGCCTCACATTATACGTCATCAGAGAAATGCAAATTGAAACAATGAGATACCACTACAGCCATATTAGAATAGCCAGAATCCAGAGTTCTGATGACTCCACATGCTGGTAAAAATGTGTATCAACAGGATCTCTCATCAATTGCTGGTGCAAATGTAAAATGACACAATCACTTTGGAAGACAGTTTGGTGGTTTTTACAAAATTAAGTAAACTCTTACAATACAATCCAGCAACCATGCTTCTTGGTATTTACTCAAAGGAGCTGAAAACTCCACACAGAAACACACACTCAGTTGTTTCCAGCAGCTTTGTTAACTGCCAAAACTTGGCAATAGCCAATAAAGTGTGGTGCATGCAGACAACAGACTATTATTCAGCACTAAAAAGAAATGAGCTATCAAGCCATGAAAAGACATGGAGAAAACTTAAATGCACTGAAGCCAACCCGAAAAGGCTACATACTGTATCATTCTAACTACGTGACATTCTAGAAAAGGCAAAACTGTGCAAACAGTAAAAACATCAGTAGTTGGAGGGTAGTTGTGGGGAGGGATGAAAAAGCAGAGCACAGAGGATTTTCAGGGAAGTGAAAATACGGTGTATGCTATCTTAACGATGGTTACATGTCGTTGCACACTTGTAAAAACCAACAGGAAATACAACACCAACAACAAATCCTAAGATAAATTATGGACTCTAAGTGATTATGATGTGTCAGTGTAGGTTCAACCTTGATAATCTACCAGTGTACCATTCTAATATGTGATGTTTACAATAGGGGAAGCTTCGAATGGGCAGGGGTAGAGAATATATGGGAAATCTCTGTATCTTCCTATTTTGCTGTGAACCTAAATAACTGTTCTTTAAAAAATTAAGTCTTAAAAAAAAGTAGTTCATTAAAAAATGTTGGGGAAAGAGAAGCCTCTGAAATTACTTCCAAATATTCGCATGCACAAATCTCAACCACAGTCCACATTTGTTTATAAGATGAGTGATAACTACTATTTATTTAAAGTAGACTGTGTGGTAGAAACTATACTAAGCATTTAATACCTCACTTAACCAAAAAAAATCCTCAGCATATGGAAAAATTTGGGTTCTAATGTATAATCCTCCTAAAGAATCCTCCTCAGAGAGAAACTCTTCACACATCAACACCAACAGACTTAAGACTGATCAGAGCAGCAGTCTTTATAATAAAGGAAATAAGATGTATAGAACAGACTTTTGGACTCTATGGGAGAAGGCTAGGGTGGGATGATCTGAGAAAACAGCATCGAAACATGTATATTATCTAGGGTGAAACAGATCACCAGCCCAGGTTGGATGCATGAGACAAGTGCTCAGGGCTGGTGCAGTGGGAAGACCCAGAGGGATCGGGTGGAGAGGGAGGTGGGAGGGGGGATCGGGATGGGGAACATGTGTAAATCCATGGCTGATTCATGTCAATGTATGGCAAAAACCACTACAATATTGTAAAGTAATTAGCCTCCAACTAATAAAAATAATTGGGAAAAAAATAAATAAATAAAGGAAATACGAAGACAAATTCAACTGTCCATATTCAAGTCAACATAGTGCATTCATAGAGCAGAAAAAAACAGGATGAAGTAAAGCTGCACACAACAACATGAATGAATTTTAAAACATAAAGATGTAAAAGTGAGCAAAAGAAAACCCCAGAATATAAAAATGGCATCATAGTATATGTTAATATAAAAAACAGGTAAAAATAAGTAAAATACTGTATTAACATTAATATACATTCATCAGTGGTAAAACTATAAATAAATGCAAGGAGTGATTATCACAAAATTCAGCATAATGACTGTTACCCCGAGGAGGGCCTTAAAAGATACTATAAATTTCTATTGACCTGGATGGCAGATATGTGGATGGATGCTTGAATTATTGTTATTTTTTCAATTACATAAATATTCATATGTGCTTCTTTGTATGTATATTTAGTAATTTTTAAAAACCCCTCTAGATTGGCATAACGTCAACTTTACAGATAAGGAAAGAAAGATTATATAAACTGTCCAAAGTTAATACCACAGTTATAAGTTGCTGAATTGAAACTTGAAACCAAGTTTGCCAAATTTCAAAAGTTATGCTCTTTCTTCTATATAACTTTTGCTCTAGCTGCTGGATATTAATCTTTACACAACTATTAAGTGCTGGAACTTTGTGACTTAGGTGATTTAGGGGAAAAAAAAACACTAATCTTTGCTAATAAAATAATATACAAAGGCAAGTAAGATCCCACATGCCACACTGAGCAGCAGCCAAAAATATAGATGTATGCAAATGTAAAGCTAATGATCAACTGACAACAGGACAGGTGCTATTATCTTCCAGTGTTAAACGCTGTTTGTTCCTCTTGTAACAATTTTTCACACTTGCCAATACCTGGTCATAATTAAAGGTTTAGCCTTTCTCAAGCTAGTTGACCTATACCAGAATCAAATCCATTAAATGATGTTACATTAGCATCCAGTACTAAAACAATGATCTAATGATGCCAAGATTTTTCAGTTTCTTCACTTATACATAAACATTGTTAAAATGCAAAGAAGAGAACCTAAGGCATCCTGGAGGTCAAATTCTGAAGCTTCCACCTAAAAGCTAACTTTTATTTTTTTGGCCATGCCACATAGTATGTGGGCTATTAGCTCCCCGATCAGGTATCGAACCAGCACCCCCTGAATTGGAAGTGGGGAGTTCTTAACCACTGGATTGCTGGGGAAGTCTTTAAGAGCTACTTTGACCTTGAGCAAATCACTTTACCTCTTTGAGTCTGTTTTATATCTCACAAAATTTTGGCCAGAATTAAATGAGATAATATAGGATAAAAATGTTTAGGTCACTGCACTGTTATTTCAGAGAAGGAAGGATTGGGTGGAGAGGGAGGTGGGAGGGGGGACCGGGATGGGGAATACATGTAAAAAAAAAAAAAAAAAGATACACTATGGTTGTGATAAAAAATAAATAAATAAATAATTAATTAAAAATCTTAAAAAAAAAAAAAAGATTTGAACTCTAAAAAAAAAAAAAAAATGTTTAGGTCACTGCACTGTTATTTCAGAGAAGGAAATGGCAACCCACTCCAGTATTCTTGCCTGGAGACTCCCATAGACAGCAAAGCCTGTGTCCATAGGGTCACAAAGACACGGACATGACTGAAGTGACTTGGCATGCATGCATGCACTGTATTTCACAGATGTGCAACAAATGTTCATTTCCTTCCTTTATTCTAGGAATGGGAAAGAAAAAACAAAAAAATAAAGTAGAGGAATCTTTAAAAACAATAGTTATTTTAGGGAAAAATGAGAACAATTTAATGGTAAAAAAGATTTATCTCAGAGTTCCCTGGTGGTACAGTGGATAAGAATCCACCTGCCAATGCTGGGGACATGGGTTCGATCCCTGGTCCAAGAAGATTCCACATGCCATGGAGTAACCAAAACCCGTGTGCCACAACTACTGAAGCCTGTGTACCTAGTACCTATGCTCCACAACAAGAGAAGCCACTGCAATGAAAAACCCATGCACTGCAACTAGAGAATAGCCTGTGCCTGCCACAATTAGAGAAAGCCCATGTAGCAATGAAGACCCAGTACAACCAAAAATAATATTTTTAAAAAAAGATTTCCATTAGCAGGGATAATAAATATAAATAAAATTCAGTTCTCAAGATTTTATTTCCTCTACAGTCCTTTGATGAAGATGAGAACTTTAGAGTTAACAAAATATAGTATTCCCTCAGAGATATAAACAATTAAACCAAATTACTGTTTCTGATCTGCTACTTATTGTACTATGTAGAACCATTTTTTCAAATTATAAAACAACTCAGCAATATATCATGGTATAGGAAACGTAAACCCAATCTTTTACCTTTTGGATTCAGAAGGCTGTCTCTTATTTATCATTTCACGGAGCCTTGCAGCTGACTGCAAAATACACAAAACATAACACATGTAAAAATACTATCTCATAAAAAAAAACACTGTAACTACATAGCTTACCTTCTGAAACTTTGAGTATCTGCTACTATATGTACACTAAGCCAAGATCTATACAGGAAGTAAAGAACCTTGAGATATGACAACTGTTCTTGGTAGTAGACATGAGACAAATACACTATCAATAATAAAGAGAAGTACATAATATCGTCTAAAGTACTGACATTCTGGTTCCTGGGACCAGGCTACTAACAAGTTTACATAAGTAAACATTTATTAAATATGCTATTACAAATTTCCAAGTTTAACTTATACTTCAGGCAACCCTTTGTGGGTATTTTCCAGAAAAGTTACAGGTTCTACTTTCATAAATCAATAGTAATTTCTGTCAAATTAAGTCAAAATCAGAGATATTTTTGTCTCCATTTCCGATGAATTTTCAACTGTGAGTGAATTTAGCAATTCAGCAATTTAGTGCCTTATATTAACTCACCCTCTCTCCCCTCAAAATGCAAATACACACTGAATATTTAGGAATTTGGTATATCCAGAAACTATTTAAAGCCAAGGGTTTAATGTATTTGGGGGGGGGAACATCACACACCCTCCTCTTCTCACACACATAGAAGTTTGACTGCAGTGTGAAGACCTTCAGTGTAAATTATACCTTTAGTAAAGATGATTAAAAAACATTAGCATACTTATGGCCACACTCAAGGCATGTGGGGTCTTAGCTCCCTGACCAAGGATAGAAAGGAGTGAGGGGAAGCTTCCAATTACAGCTTTAATAGTTTAAAAAAAAAAAAAAGTCTTGGAATCAATAAAATATGGTAAACTGTATTAAGGGTAAATCTTGCTAATTTTACCCTCCCTCATTTGACACTATGAAACCTGATACTATGAGTATTTTATTGACCTACTAGCAAGAGGAATAGTATCTCAGTTTAGATTAGAAACTTCAAACAAACCTCAGACAACTGAAGAGAAGCAAAAAAGTTTGCATTTTCTGATATGTTCTTCAGTCTCTTCCTTTCGTATGGTGACAATTCTGAAAAATCATCCTATAAAATCACACCAAGAAGATTCTGTTATTTACATAATCCACAGCAAAAATATGTCACAAAACTAGTTATTGCATTCTCCACATGTATATGTTCCTTCAAATTGCACCTACTATGGTTATTTTATGTTATCTTACCAAACAGCACATAAACTTTGCTGCACTGGATACTAAGAGAAAGAGTTTGGGTTTGGGATAATTGCAGGATATATGCATGGCTTCCCAATTAAATAACAGGTGATCTGACATCAGAAGTCAAGTAGGATAGCCCAATAACACATTATTTCCTACTGGCCCTTAACTGTATTATTTCACAAAGTGACCTTTTTATTAAGCAAAACAAGAAAGAACTCAAAAACAGAAATTTTTAAATTCACTGAGATTAAAGAAATTCAATAAAAAAGAGAATCACATGAGCAGAAAAGACAGTTTTAAACTAGAGAATAGTGGAGGTGCGATATCCAACTAATAGTTACTGTTGGGGGCGGAAAGGAGCAGAGAACATGGAGGAGAGAAAATCATTAAAGAAATAATACAAGAAAGCTTCTCTATTCGAGGTTTTTTGTATTTTCATACAAATTGTGAAATTATTTGTTCTAGTTCTGTGAAAAATACCATTGGTAGCTTGATAGGGATTGCATTGAATCTATAGATTGCTTTGGGTAGTACAGCCATTTTGACAATATTGATTCTTCCAATCCATGAACACGGTATGTTTCTCCACCTGTCTGTGTCCTTTTGATTTCTTTCATCAGTGTTTTATAGTTTTCTATGTATAGGTCTTTCGTTTCTTTAAGTAGATATACTCCTAAGTATTTTATTCTTTTTGTTGCAATGGTGAATGGTATTGTTTCCTTAATTTCTCTGTTTTCTCATTGTTAGTGTATAGGAATGCAAGGATTTCTATGTGTTAATTTTATATCCTGTAACTTTACTATATTCGTTGATTAGCTCTAGTAATTTTCTGGTAGAGTCTTTAGGGTTTTCTATGTAGAGGATCATGTCATCTGCAAACAGCGAGAGTTTCACTTCTTCTTTTCCTATCTGGATTCCTTTTACTTCTTTTTCTGCTCTGATTGCTGTGGCCAAAACTTCCAAAACTATGTTGAAAAGTAGTGGTGAGAGTGGGCACCCTTGTCTTGTTCCTGATTTCAGGGGAAATGCTTTCAATTTTTCACCATTGAGGGTAATGCTTGCTGTGGGTTTGTCATATATAGCTTTTATTATGTTGAAGTATGTTCCTTCTATTCCTGCTTTCTGGAGAGTTTTAATCATAAATGGGTGTTGAATTTTGTCAAAGGCTTTCTCTGCATCTATTTGTGGGGAGCCGGCCTGCTCAAGGCCCAAAAAGGCCCTGGGAAAGCCTTGAAAGAGGCTATTCCCTGTCCCACCACCCCATGATAAAGTAGTAAAACATTTGCTGGGTCTCCTTTGTTCTTCCTTGAGAAAAACATAGTAGTGACCTTCACTTAGTAGTTTATCTTGGAATACCAAAAACAAGATGTAAGCTTCTGCCATCACTTAAGACAAAGAACTGTATTGATGTGACAAACATCAGATGGCATTTTTTATGAACTATGTTTTCTGCTTGTACTAGTATAAAGGTAGCTGTTTTACTCAATAAAATCGCTGCTTGCCTAAAGAGCATTTCAGTCCTCTCGACCCCATTCTTTCAGCTCCTTTTTCTCAGGCTTCCGTGCTGTTGTGGTCGGGACTTGTTCTCTTTGCCAGCTGGTCCCGGCATCTATTGAGATAATCATATGGTTTTTATCTTTCAATTTGTTAATGTGGTGTATTACATTGATTGATTTGAGGATATTAAAGAATCCTTGCATTGCTGGGATAAAGCCCACTTGGTTATGGTGTATGATTTTTTTAATATGTTGTTGGATTCTGTTTGCTAGAATTTTGTTAAGGATTTTTGCATCTATGTTCATCAGTGATATTGGCCTGTAGTTTTCTTTTTTTGTGGCATCTTTGCCTGGTTTTGGAATTAGGGTGATGGTGGCCTCATAGAATGAGCTTGGAAGTTTACCTTCTTCTGCAATTTTCTGGAAGAGTTTGAGTAAGATAGATGTTAGCTCTTCTCTAAATTTTTGGTAGAATTCAGCTGTGAAGCCGTCTGGTCCTGGGCTTTTGTTTGCTGGAAGATTTCTGATTACAGTTTCTATTTCCTTGCTTGTGATGGCTCTGTTAAGATCTTCTGTTTCTTCCTGGTTCTGTTTTGGAATACAAAAAACCTCGAATAGCCAAAGTAATCTTGAGAAAGAAGAATGGAACTGGAGGAATCAACCTGCCTGACTTCAGACTCTACTACAAAGCCACAGTCATCAAGACAGTATGGTACTGGCACAAAGACAGAAATATAGATCAATGGAACAGAATAGAAAGCCCAGAGATAAATCCACTAACCTATGGTCACCTTATCTTCAACAAAGGAGGCAAGGATATACAATGGAAAAAAGACAACCTCTTTAACAAGTGGTGCTGGGAAAACTGGTCAACCACTTGTAAAAGAATGAAACTAGAACACTTTCTAACACCATACACAAAAATAAACTCAAAATGGATTAAAGATCTAAATGTAAGACCAGAAACTATAAAACTCCTAGAGGAGAACATAGGCAAAACACTCTCTGACATAAACCACAGCAGGATCCTCTATGACCCACCTCCCAGAATATTGGAAATAAAAGCAAAAATAAACAAATGGGACCTAATGAAACTTAAAAGTTTTTGCACAACAAAGGAAACTATAAGCAAGGTGAAAAGACAGCCCTCAGATTGGGAGAAAATAATAGCAAATGAAGCAACAAAGGATTAATCTCAAAAATATACAAGCAACTCCTGCAGCTCAATTCCAGAAAAACAAATGACCCAATCAAAAAATGGGCCAAAGAACTAAACAGACATTTCTCCAAAGAAGACATACAGATGGCTAACAAACACATGAAAAGATGCTCAACATCACTCATTATCAGAGAAATGCATATCAAAACCACAATGAGGTACCATTACACACCAGTCAGGATGGCTGCTATCCAAAAGTCTACAAGCAATAAATGCTGGAGAGGGTGTGGAGAAAAGGGAACCTCTTACACTGTTGGTGGGAATGTAAACTAGTACAGCCACTATGGAGAACAGTGTGGAGATTTCTCAAAAAACTGGAAATAGAACTGCCATATGACCCAGCAATCCCACTTCTGGGCACACACACCGAGGAAACCAGATCTGAAAGAGACACGTGCACCCCAATGTTCATCACAGCACTATTTATAATAGCCAGGACATGGAAGCAACCTAGATGACCATCAGCAGATGAATGGATAAGGAAGCTGTGGTACATATACACCATGGAATATTACTCAGCCATTCAAAAGAATTCATTTGAATCAGTTCTAATGAGATGGATGAAACTGGAGCCCATTATACACAGTGAAGTAAGCCAGAAAGATAAAGAACATTACAGCATACTAACACATATATATGGAATTTAGAAAGATGGTAATGATAACCCTATATGCAAAACAGAAAAAGAGACTCAGATGTACAGAACAGACTTTTGGACTCTGTGGGAGAAGGCGAGGGTGGGATGTTTCGAGAGAACAGCATGTATATTATCTATAAGTGAAACAGATCACCAGCCCAGGTGGGATGCATGAGACAAGTGCTCGGGCCTGGTGCACTGGGAAGACCCAGAAGAATCGGGTGGAGAGGGAGGTGGGACGGGGGATCGGGATGGGGAATACATGTAACTCCATGGATGATTCATGTTAATGTATGACAAAACCCACTGCAATGTTGTGAAGTAATTAGCCTCCAACTAATAAAAATAAATGAAAAAAAAAAATAGTGGATCAGTTCCCAATAAACATTAGAAATATTAAAAAAAAAAAAAAGAAAGCAAGCTTCTCAAAACTGAAAAGAGTTTCCAGATTAAAAGGGCCCAACGTGTATACAACACAATGAATGAAAACAAGACTCAAGCCCAGGCATATCATCACAAAATTTCTCAATACCTGAAGATGAGTGAAATAAAGAGAAGATCCCAAAAGTTTGCAGAGGGAAAAAGAGACCACAAAGAACCAAGAATGATAACTTCATAATATCCAGGAAGCTAGAAGACAAAGGAAGAATGTGTTAAAAATGCTAAAGAAAAAATTATTTTTAACTTACAATTCTAAATTCAATAATGCCAACAATCAAATGTAAAGCATAAAGACTTTTTCAGACATGCAAATTATCTGTTGGGCTGCCCAGGTGGTGCAAGTGGTGGAGAATCCACCTGCCAATACAGCAGATGCAAGAGACCCAGGTTCAATCCTTGGGCTGGGAAGATCACCTGGAGAAGGAAAAGGCAACCTACTCCAGTATTCTTACCTGAAAAAATCCCATGGACAGAGGAGCCTGGCAGGCTACAGTCCATGGGGTTGCAAAGAGTCAGACAAGTCTGAGCACTTACCAGCAGCAAACTATGTGTCATACACCAGCTTTCAGGAAGTTACTATAAGCTGCACTTCATCAAAATTAGACAATAAACCAAGAAAGAGAAAGACAGGATCCAGGCTACAGAAGTCCAACACAGGAGAGAGAAAAAAGAAATTTAAAGAAAAACAGTAAAGAGAAGGCCAAGAAAGAGAAAACAGTCCAGAATGATGGAGGGTCCCAGAAAACATTTCATGAATTATATACATACATATACACATATATATAATATATATAAAGCCATTAGAATTCTTTGATTTATACCGAGAAAAATTTTACAACTCAGGTAAAGCTTGGACTATATGTAATACGGAAGGTAAAACATGGGAAGGAGGAGACAGCACACATGTGTGAACTTAATCTTCTATAGTAAGTCAATAGATAATGTGGGGGATAAAAGCTAAAATGGCCTAAAGTATAATTTGTCTGTTGAGCAGTAATCACAAATAGGTATGTAACAGAAAATTGTTGGCTGTTTTGATTTGGTTCTGTGTATACATTTATGTGTGTAGATAT